TGGTTTAGGCTGATCCGAGCTGAGATAATATGGAGAGTTCTGGGGAATAATCTGCCAGACTAGATAAACTTTAAATGAACACTAAGTAAAATGCTAAAGCCAGTGGAAATCTTGCCTGCGGAGACAATGCAGCCCCATAAGCCCACCCAAAACCTAAGCTTACATTAATTCCTCATTAGCATACATTAAATCCATGACTGCGAGCATAACATAACACTGAGTGCAGAAGCTGACTTCTCTCGCCACACATAGGATGTCATAGGAGTGGCCTTGGTGTTGTTTTTCTGCGATCAAGCTAATCTCCAATAACATTCGCAATTATTAGCATAGCAAAAGCTAGCTGAGAGGCCTGTGGTGATTTAACAAGATAATTACGCCTAAACTAAATAACCTTCAGAGAGAGATATAGAGACATTTCGGAGGAGGACGGGGAGGGATGGAGTGATAGATTAATAGATGCAGGGCATGTAACCCTGCTGGGATCTCATTCTAGTCTAGACTCAATCTTTTGACGCCATGCTGCCATTAAACGAGTGACAGGTCATCCCTTCATTCCCCTAGGGGGAAGAGAAATGCTTAATTTAACATGTTAGGCTGTTTGTTTGAGGTGTTATTTCGTACCGGGCTGGAAAAGGATGGTGGAGTAGTGCTATTATCCTTCATGCACCCGGAAACAAACAAATTTAATAACCTTATTCATCAGACAAGAGCAGCAATATGGTTGAGTGGATATCAACCGAGAAATGATGCAAAGAACTATAAAATACCACTGGTAAGACAACAGGCGATTGAGAGAGAAGACAGTCTGAGCAGCTGAGGCGGGTTGTAGGGGAATATCAAAGCTTTAAATATTAAAGTAGACTTGAGGTTTTCTGTGAAGGATTATGTCTTTTACTGCGAAGCCTGGAGAGGAACATCAATGACAGACAGCAACAAAAAATGACCAAAAACTACATATGCCATGGTAGTAACATAATATTCTTTGAACTACGACTGTAAATACCATGGTAAATGTATTATGGCACTCAGGACCACGGTATATACTCTACCATTCAAAAGTTTGGGTTTGGTTATGTTTATTAAATTCAGTAAATTTATTCCTGTGATGGCAGAGCTGAATTTAGGGCAGTCATTACTCCAGTCTTCAGTGTCACATGATCCTTCAGACAGAAATCATTATAATATGCTGATTTGCTGCTCAAAAACCATTTCTTATTATAAATGTTGAAAACAACTACTTTATATTTTGATGAACAGAAAGTTCAAAATAAACAGGATTTATTTGAAATGGAAATCTTTTGAACATCTCAAACTTTTGAAGAGTCGTGTTTACCAGAGTACCATTACCATCTGATACCATCATTGTACCATGGTACCGCCACAGGGGAAAGATGTCTGTCACCTGATTTTTACCCACAAACCCTCTGGCATTTCTCCACCCTTGACTAATAGCCTTCGAAACGGGACTTGGGACACCAAAAGAGTCACTTCTCTTTGTTTAAGCATGGAAAAGGAATATGATCCAATTTAACAGGGGCATTATTCAGAGCTAAACACTAGTGACCTGCTTCTCCACCAGACAGACCTGAACTTTCTGAGCCCGACGCTTGTCAGCCCTCTGGTTCTGATGGTAGATGCGACTGAAGTTGGAAACGATAACGGGAACAGGCAGAGCGATGACCAGCACCCCACTGAGGGAACAGATGGAGCCAAAGATCTTCCCTGCTATGGTCTTCGGGACCATGTCTCCATACCTGCAGAGAAAGAGCAAGAAATAGAGACATTAGTCATTAGTAGAAATATGCACAGCCTGTTTCTCCACATGTTCTTTCTTATTTAACAGATCAGCAGCAATAAAAAAAGCTGACAGATTCATGATATCACACACAACTCAAGCTCCTAGTAATAATCATATTCCATCTGTGTTTATTATTGCATTTCAAATAATGAATGATCACAAACTCTTACTAAACATAATCGTATGCTTTTACTGCAGATTGGCACTAATGCACACCACCTAATAGTACCCTGCAGACAAAGCAGGAAAATTATTTTGATGCTCGCTAATATTAGAGGTGCCAGATTTTAAATGCAATAAATGATTATTGAAGCAGGAGTTGACAGAGGTGTGAGTGGGACGACACTTTTATATCCAGTTGTATAAAGAGACGTTTGTCTGCAAAGCAGTTTGTTTGCGAAGTCTTTTATTTTGAAAACAGCTTGGAAAATCTTTTATTTGCTACATTTGGAGGGTTATGAAAATGATTTGTTTGGAGTAAGTCATGCATAAAGAGTTTGTTTATTATTTAGAAAGCTATTCGTTTGGAAACTCTTTTACTTAGAGAACAGTTTGTCTGGGAAGTGTTTCATTTTGAAAGCCTTTTATTTATAAAGGGGTTTGTTTGCAGACTCATTTGTTTGTCAGCTGATTTGTTTGTAAAATCTGTCATATGGCCATTTGTTTGGAAACAAAGTCTTTTTCTAGATTCGTCTTCGTCCCTCAAAACAAGGCTAATATTATCTTTTAAAGAAGAGATGAACTGTACCAAGCAGGAGCAAAAACCAGCAGAGAACGAGAAAGTCATTTAAGATGTTTAAATTGGAGCATTTAAATTCCTCGAACCAATGCCCTGGCAACTTCAAGGACATCAAATACAATTTGATACAGTTATTTAAAATGGAAATACAATTACACGCACCACTGTAGATCTTCCTCGGCTTGTGTGATGGGCTGCCATGTGAATTCAGGCAGTGACTTATTTTTTTTTTTAAGATAAGAATGTTGCTGACCAATGGTTCAAGGTGGCTTTAGCAAAAAAGAAAGACATTAGTTAAGAAAAAAAAAAAAAACCTACAGACTAAAGTAATTGGATCCTGATGGAATACAGCCACAAAGCAAGCGAGAAAATAAGACTGGCACAACTGGTGGAACGATGCAAGAATAACCATACACTCTAAAAAATGGGTAACGCTTTCTTTTATAGTACAGTACTTACAGTGTACTTACAGTGTACTTACCTAGAAAGTACTGGCTAATATAAGGTAAGTACATGGAACAGGGGTAGGTTTAGGGGTAGGTGCAGTACAGGTTCAGGTTAGTACTAGTTACTACCCCAGTAATTGTAGTTACTAAAATAAGTACATAGTATTACATGGGTAACTGGACTGTAAAAGGAAGGCGTTAACCAAAAAATGCTGGGTTGTTTTGACCCAATTTTGGGTCAAATATGGACAAACTCAACATTGGGTTGAAAATGTAATGTAAATTACAATGGCTGGGTTGTCCATATTTGACCCAAAATTGGGTTAAAAGAACCCAGCATTTTTTAGAGCGTATACAGGTGAAACTCAAAAAATTTGAATATCGTGCAAAGTTAATTTATTTCAGTAATTCAACATTAGTGAAACTAATATATTATCTAGATTCATTACATGAAAAGTGAGATATTCCAAGCCTTTATTAATTTTGATGATTATGGCTTATCAAAACCCCAAAGTCAAAATTAGAATATTGTGAAAAGGTTTTCATAGCTGTTAGCCATAATCATCAAATTATAACAAAAAAGCTT